GGATTGAAACAGGTCTTGGTTAGGTGCTCGAACCACCGGAAAGGGAATTAATGAATTAATTAATGATTAAAGACCAGAAGAAATCTCGAGTCTCCGATGCAAGCAAAAACCAGAAGTCCCAAGGGTACTTCAATTCAGAGTAGAGCAGTGGAGCTAACTACGCGTCCAATTAACTTCCATCAATTATGTCCACCTCGCGGCAGGCGTGCGAGCGAACGGAAAAAGGGAAGCGAACATAGGAAATAAGTCTCGCGGAAAGCTTCTTCCTCCCCGTGCTTCTTCGCAAACACTCTGAACCGGCAAACGCGCTTATCAGCGGGACAAGTTGAAAGCGACAAAATGAGAGCGCCGGAAGGATTGCGGTCATCGGACACCGCAACAGCTAAACGGATTGACGTCTTATGCAATCATCGTCTTCGCCGTCCGGCGAGACGGTAAAGAAAGGCGGGGCGAGCGCCGCGAACCCTTGGACAAAGCATGCTTTTTCGTTGTCTTATGGTGGCTTTGCGCTAAATGCTAAGCACTGTAGCCTCCACATTGAACAGAATTGCCTTCGTTTCGTATAAACAGCAACCGAGCTATTGTTTGCTCGACGCGACTAGGCAGTAAACGCAAGGAAAAATGTGCAATAGCCAATTTAACTGCGACAGAGAACCATGCGTGTTTACGTCTACTGCCTTCGTTGGACAGACTACATGTTCGTCACTAAGGTACATAAATGCTCGTGTAACGTAGGAGCCCGAATGTATCGTTCCATCGGCCTGAAGGTACAACCGATATAATAATCTATAATCAAGATAATCGTCCGGCGCTTGGAAATATTTGAATTAAGCGTTAAATTAGAAATTAGATATTAGAAATTCCGATACGTATTCGTGTAATGGCATCAATGGAAATCGACGTAAAGCTTTGGCAACGAATAATTGGGTAAACACACCGTCGTAACGCTAGAAGATAAAGTATCGTCCAATTGCGAAGTGGAAGCAGGGTGACCCCAGGCCTTCGGAGCGGCTGTTCGATAACAAGACAGACCGCGACTCGGGCAAGAAACCCGTCTGTCGTGGATCGGGTACGTGACTCGGTCACGCAGGTATTCACGATCGGCGCGCATCGTGTTAATCCTTTTATTTCGGCCGTGCCGTTTCGCGTTTCTCTGATTCGACGCACGATATTGCGGGCGTCACGCATTCCTGATTCGGCGCTGATCGATCACGACCGAATGAATCGCGTAGACACTCCTCGAAAATAGCGTGACAGAGTCCGGTTAAATTGGATTTCATCTGATCCGCGTGGAACTCGATGAAAAGGGAAAAGTGAAAAGTTTCGTGGAAACTGCCACTAACTGCCGCAAACTTGTATAAAGTCCTGTTTAACCAGATATTGAGTTTGTTTCACAATTTTATTATGAATTTCTTTTGTCGAAGTTTTAAGCGATTTTCACTTCGGATCGCGTTAAAGAGATACATCGAGATTCAAACAACTAATGAAGATATAAACAGTTATAAACAGGTAAACGCGTTACCCGATAGAAAACTGTTCGACTATACGCATTAAACCGATACGCTATTAAATACGCTCGCAGAAACGTTAACACAATACTCATCACGGCCGTCACGGTGTCCAAAAAATGTCGAGATGTACAGTAATTCCATCTCCGATAACGGAGTATATTGATTTTAACGTGCAGAGCGATACGAACCGTTCATTTGCCAACACGATTAACTTGAGCGAATTAAAGCGAAACGGATAAGATTGATAAACTTGTGTACTGGAGTCAACGATCGGACGATCTATGCAGTAAACTTGGAAGCGAATTGAATGAATGGAGTTAGTAGATTCGGATCGGTCGCGATCGCATGCGGCGAAGAAACTTATTAGCCGGTCGTATTAGAAGGCGCGTCGAATGAAACGCAAGCTGTTTCCAATCAGGTATATTTAGTTGCACGATATCCCTCCAGGTTATTTTCGTGCGGCCGTAGATGTTGCATCGCGTTCATCCGATCCGTTCCTCCTACCGTCTCCTTTGAATATCCCCCACCCACCTCTTGCCCTTTCGGTAACACACCTCGCGCGTAACGCTAATTATCTCCTCGGTAACGGTCGCAATGTCCGAGACCGAAGACAAAGTGAAGTAATTGAATGAGATAGATAGCGGGGTACACGAAAACACACTCGCCGAGGTCCTCGAGGAGGCCGATCGAAATCGTCTGGTCAAAGTAATTACAGGGACAGTTGACTCTCTGCAGCCCGCTATAATTTGCTATCTGCTAATTAATGCGTAGTGGGAGGATCGTGGATCGTTGTTACGCTCGCGGATCCTCCATTCACGGTTTCTCGGTACCGTCCATGATCGCCGAGACACGCACGCTGCCGTTTACAAGTGTGCGAACAAGTCTGCGATGCTCGACATGCGTGAAAGTAAAGCAATTCTTCAAGTGGAATACTTTGATATAGTTTTTCAATAGTTTCGACGATATTAATCTTGGAGAACCAACGTCTCCCCGTTAGTGACATCAAACTTGTCTGTCTAGAATGGAAAGTTGAAGACGAATAATTGAATTGTTCAAAGTTCGAAAGATTGATTCGCGGTTTTCTTATTTTTCTGGTATTCGTGATGTTTTTACGTATAATTTAGCTCTGTTCGATGAAGGTTCTGAATATAAATTGCATTGTAGAATACGGATTAAATGTCGCCGCACTGTGTTGTAACGAAACATTTTAATACGATTTCATCGAATACTTGTGTAAGCTAGTGTACACGTGCGAGAGCAAATTGAAATTCCGCGGAGTCAAGGAGACGGGTCGAGGACCAACATCTTGGAAAGGTCGCATAAATTTCGGTCGAACCGACAGAAGTTCGCCTTGGCGAGCGCACGCGGTATTAGACAGTGTACTGGGACCGATCCAGGATCGCAGACGCTGAACTTCCGAACCGTTAGCTATGTAGTTAACATGAAAGGAATTCCCTGGCTGATGCGGAAAGTTTGGCTTTGCCTATCACTTTACGTGTACTCGGTGGTCTTTACGTAAGAACGGTATCGCGATGACAGTGTTTCCGCGGACGCGGTTCACAGGATGTCCACCGAACAATAAGAGAAACGAATTGCCTTGCGAAAACGAACAATGAATCGAAGAGAAAAGAATGAGCGGTTGGAGGTAGCTAACTGGGAATTGGCCAAGTACTTTGACCAAGGAAACTTTTCGTCGGGCAGATCCGCTAACTTGGAAATTCAGACTTTTCTTGGAACATTTGACAGTTGTGTAGATGACTTGGATCAAAGCTTAGCTATATCTCTTTTGCTACAGTTTCGTTCCACCGTTCGCTTCGTCATTTAAAATTAACACGCGTTTCCCTATGTTCCTACCCTTAACTCAGCTTTCGATAAAAATATCGGTTGAACTTGTTTCTTGCTACCTTTCAGTTCTTCGACGACTAAAAGCTCCTCGAACCGCCTTGTCCGATCCATTTGTAGCTATGATACACCGTACGAATGTATAAAATGCCGAAAAACAGAGTGTCGAGTTGACAAGACTCATCCTGTAAATCCGTGGAGCTGTCGACAACTGTTGTCCGAATTCGTAGAAGGAAAAGGTAAACAGTGAACACGGCCGGCCGGCCGCCGCGGTCCGCTAGTTACAGTTACGAGATCGGTGTGCATCGAGAAGGGAACCCTACACCGTGCAGGCCTTATCTTCTTTCAGATAGTGCTGGTATGCGTTACAGGAGCGTATAGACGCCGCCGAGAAAATACCTTGGAATCAAAGACTTTATTTACGCAACTCTGCGGGGGCGAGGATACGAAAAATTCGGTCTCGCGTGCTCCAGGCCAGAAAGCGATCGAGCTAGAAACATTATACGCGGCCTTTCCGATTTTTTTCCACGATCGGTCTCGTACTACACCGTAGTACGTCTCGGTGTATTATACTCTGGCTCGTTCAAGTGGATAGCTGGTGTACCTGCTTCGTAGGTACAATGGCTCTCAGTGATTCATGTCGGTGTAGGACAATATTCTCGGGAGCGACTGAGTAGAGACATTGTACCGGCGAACAATGGGAATCACTAAGATCGTGCAAGTCACCGGAAAAATCATTTTGCACCGTTGGTCCGGAGGAATTGATCGGCTCCGATCACTTTCTGAATCCGTAATGACCGCAAAGCAGTTCAACTTCGGAGCAGAGGGAGCAATCGTTTTATTACCATTACGCGAGAACTTACTCGTTACGTTGATATTGAAGTACCGTTGACGTTCAGTTGCCATCGCAGTGAAATAAGATTTATTTATCGTATATTTTTCACTTCGGGGATAAACATAGGTTTGCGAGGAAGATGAAATACGTCTTCCTGCAGTAAACTACTTGCGACAGATCGAGTCGAGAAGATGGTTCGCGCGTGAATCAACGTGTTAATTTTGTTTCTTTCTTTGCACAAGCTGTCACGGATAAATCGACTGCGCCGAAACTCTGTTTACACAACATTGCGCAAGAGAAAGGGCGCGGTCAGAGGCTTTTTTGCCTCCTGACTCAAACAATCTAACATCGTCACCCTTATTTAGATCGATCCGTCTCGCCAAAACCCAGTCGTGTACGAATTCTGGTCAACCCCGCGATTAGCCCGAAATATTGATAATCTCTAATCTCAGATATAGAAAAACCAAACAGTTAATCATCAGAATTTTATAAGTACATTGGCTACTGAATCAGCTCTAATCGAAACTCTCTTTCGATGAATTAGAAGCTGATTTTCAAGTCCAGAAAAAGATCGTATCGTCGAAATTGATACGACACGGTGGCCAACGTGTTAAATATCAAGTCGAAACTAACACCGGGATAGGCTCGGAGAAATTCCCTTTGAACAATGAATTAATGGTGCCCCATTAACAGCCACTGTCACAGATCCATCGCGCAAGGATCGCGCACGGATCGCGCACGGATCGCGCACGGGGCACGCAGTCGTGGTAGCCGCGGGGACGGCCGTGAAAAGTAAACGTCAGCCACGCCGCTGACAATCGAAGCCCGACGCAGGAATCTCCGCGCGCGCCATCGGTCCCGATTGGTGGGTCGGCGGTCAGTCTGCGATCGGCGGTCGTGCCGATGATATCGTGCGTGCCCGGTGCCCCGACAGAAGCATTTCGCGCGGCCGGTTCAGCTCGTGCTCCGAAACCGAAGCGTGTCCGCCTCTAGCGAAAAAGGAAAACAAAAAGAAAAGGAGAGCGTCGATCGTCGAATTTCACCAGTCATCGGCAACGAGATAGATAATAAACCCGTTATCTTATCGCGGAAGAGACAGGCAAGAGGTGTAGTCCCGTCGGATTGTTACGCAATCACGCGACGGCGACCAAACGGGGACAATGAAGTCGAAGACGAGCGAGAGTTTTATAGCGAGTGAAAGTAACGGGGTCAAGAGGGACCAGGAACTCAAGCAGAAAACGGTGAAGAAGGGTAAGGAGAGCTCTCGATCGATCTCGACGCTTTTTCCTCTTTTTCCTCTTTTTTTATACCGTGCTACAGCTCTTAATTGTCCCGGGGAAAGGTGGCCGGGGATCCGTCAGCCAAGTTTTTTCTGATATTTTACGAGAACGGAAGAGTGCGCTCGTATGCGACGTGTTCTCGATTATGGTCGGGTGTTGCGCGATCGAACCACGATTCTAATCAAGGGAGGAGGGATTAATCGGTGTACATTAGTTTCGAGTAAGAGTTGTTCCATCGGTGATTGTGAGTCACGCGTAACTGAGAAGCAAGGACACTTTGAACGCTTCTTTCTATATGGGCCTTTCTCGTCGGGTTCTATATTAAATGTCTTCTCGAAGTTGACGGTTCGAAGCACCTTCGAGACGGTTGGAGGCTTTTCGGACGATTAAGTGGGCCACCTTGTGTTTCTTTCGAATTGTGCTCTAGTTGGTGAGACAGGCGAGGGTTTCTTCGAATCCTCTGTTCAGTGACCTGGCACTGTTCACGGGTTCATGCGACTGTACACGGTTTAATCTAACGAATTCCGCTTGATTCGACAGACTTGAAACGAATTGGAGTAAATTTCAGTCGTTCGTCCGTGTTGGAATGAATTTTTCTTTTCTAGAGGTGATTACTTGAACTTTTTGGGAGTGTAACTGTTACCTCAACGGCGAACCAGAGATTGAATAACAACTGCACTTGCTCGTGCAACAGTAGTTCTCTATATCGCGCGATTTTTCCATCGTTCCCGCTGATTACAGTTAAGCGGAACTATCGCCGCGCGAAAGTAGAGCTGGGGCCCGTGGTTCGCGACAATAAAGTGTATCGGTATCGTGAAAACACACGTAACGCACTCCAATCGTCGTCGCATGACATCACCCGTTATTCGACGATAATGCGATTGTACTTTTAGAAGTGAAAGAAATGCGACGAATTTTAAATCGGCAACGGCAGACCGTGTCTGATAGCGAACGGACGATTAGATAAGACGATTACCAAAGACAGGTTGCTTTATTGAGGAACCTCTGAACGATTTGCCTTGGAAATTCCACGTTACACAATTCCCTCGTTAAGTGCAACGCTGATGGATTCGATGTGTAGCTTTTAACGAGGTGGATGGTTGCCCAATCATCTTTTCCCTGACAAAATAACTTGTAAATAATTTGCAAAACATTTATCAAACGCATTCCCTCGTTACGTGCTATGCGTTGGAGCACATTGCACCTAACGGGAGAAGGTTTATCTTTTCAGCTTGTATGTTCAAAATGTAAGATTAGTTGGGCTTAAAATCACGTGATGTCTTGTTATTTATTCAGATATTTTTTCAAGTGGTGGAACATGCATCGACGTAAATACAAAAAGCTAATCGATGTTACTTTTTATTATTTCCTCGAGCCGAGTCCGTCACGATTTTCCAATTCTCGTGACGAGCCTAGCAAACGGACGTGACCGTCGACGCGTCACGATCGATGAATCCTGAAGCCGGACGATTAGCAGTCGGTGAAAAGCCACTCGGCAGTTCTGTTATCGTCGGATCGCCGGGAAATAAATTGCGGATTTGCTTAGCCTCGCGGCTCCGAGGCTAGCCCATAGTGCAGTATTATCTCCCGACTATTCTCGTACGTGTGTGCTTTACAAAACTATTTTATATTCTCTTCGTCAATTGTGTGGGCAACGTTTCGCACACTCTACGATCACTGGAAGCGAACAGATCTTTAATTATTGAACATTGAAAGCTAGGAGGTTTCGGAAAACGAAGATTCCTTGTTAAAATTTCAAGGTGTTGTTCGTGCTTTCAAATAATAATGGCGTGTTATGAAAATTATCCCTTTCAAATTCTTTCAGATCTTTCGATACATTGCATCACAACAAGAAAAACCGATTTCTCCAACGTTTTTCACTTGAAAGAGCAAATAAACTCTCGGAATTCCTGCGTGGCGAGAGTTTCTCGATAATTATAAACCAATATCAGCTGAACGCGGTTGTTTATTCGACAGTGTTAGGAACGTAATCGATTAACGAGCCATTAGATCGATAATGAACGCTTGTTTTTCGCTGTGTTTCGCTAATCGGCGACCGACTCCTCGAACGATCGAGGGGGTTTGCTCAAGTTACACGGTGTACGCGAGTCACTTTGTAATTCAATTCTTCATTCGTTTCCCGTGGGCTACCGTTCGCGATGCTCGATACATTATTAAATAGTTGTAACGCGAATGTAATGCAGTTAATTACAGACGAAAGCCCCGTTGCATCCTGTTGCATACGCAACGACCGATTATGCCGTGTCGGGCGGGCCCCGATTGCGCAAAAATTAATTACACGAGAACTCGGTTACTTCCTACAGGCATGTGCGAAGCGCTTCGGTAAATGGAGCTAACGTGCGAAAAGAACTTTTCGAAAAGGAATGTTGACCGTTGAATCAGCACTCGTCGAAATCATTTTCTATGAATTGAAAAACAACTTAAAAGTCGATTTTTTCACGCGCTAACCCTGTCTTATCGAAGCTAACCCACCTTATGTCGTATATTTATTTTTCGCGGAAACGCTTCCGCAATGTCGAGTCCGTAGCGGGCAACGAAGAAGGCGGCGCGGAACGGTCGTTATCGTTGTGTAATAGTCCATTTGTTATACTTTTCTTATGGTATACCGTAGATACCGCTGGGATGTCGCTTGCAAAAATGCTGATAAGCGCGGAACGAGCTATTAACAGACTATACCGTTGATAACGTCGGGCAGCCAGAAACTCGGTCAGTTTTTATTTAGTAGAAACTTGTCCACGATTCGTGAACCCTGAACTAAAATCGATTTTAAAGGAATATCCTCGAAGTCGATTTCCCGTGAAACCAAACGTGGAACTTGTTGTGTACATAACAAATCCATACCTTCTACTGTTTGATTTTAACGCATAATCGAATCGTTTCACTTTGAATTTTCTTTCTTTCTATACGACTTTATTGAAACGGTTATTGTCGTAGCGATTAGGAACGAGCGATAAGATGTCTGCCTCGGGTCCAGATATTTAGGTAACCAGTAGGATATTTTGCGATAGCGTTATCGTCACCAGCTCGATAAAAAGACGTTTATTTGCGAGATGTACCTCGGTTGTGTTATTCGCCAGTCGATTCGCGTTCTGGTGTTAATCCTGTTAATGGTTCTTATCGAATATTTACTCTTGGCCCCAAGTATTTCGTAGACGTTCCGCGAACCGTGACTTAAACGCTCGGATGGCGAACTATCCGACCGACCTAATGGCGGACTCTGGATCCGTTTCGATCCAAATTTAAATTTCCTTATTCTAATGCGGCATTCTTGAGATTCTTGCGTCGTTCCATTTATATGTTCCTTTCTTGTCGTTATCGATCACTGTCGGTACAAGTCCTTTACTTCTTGCTATCGATCGCTATGTTCACGAATCTTTTATTTATTATTTTCACACACTGTCACCGTAAATCCTCTGTTTATTGTTACTCGTTATATTTAGAAATTCCATTTCTCGTCCACTCCTCTATTTATCATTATCAGTTAGCGTTACAAGTTGATCTGCTTTCCTTCGCAACGATAGCAAACCTATAAGGGCTCCAAGAAGAATCAGCCGTTAATTAAGATAATTAAACGAGCGTCATTGCCGTTTTGAACGATACGTCGTAGAAAATACGAAGACGATGCACAGCAATTAGCAATTTGGTGAACGTGCATCGTACATATTCAATCGTCCCTCGATTCTCTGACCCACGGTGCATCTGGGAGAAAGAGCCGGGCCACTCAAGGGTCGTCGCGTTTGACCCCACTTTGCGACATCCTATTTAGACCACTTACGAATCATATTAACATACCGAAGCGGAGAGGAACGCTATGTGGAACGGGCCGTTCGATGATGGATCGTTGTCGCGGCGGCAGCGACACCGGCAAACCGGTTCGTTTTTACGGAACGGCGGAATGCGGACTGTTTTCAACGGTTTTCCTTTCCGAGCTTCCGCCGCTGGGACCGCGCGAGCCCGTGGAATTTGAATTCTGTTACGGTATTCAAATGAATTTCCGACCGTGCGTCGTAAAGCTGCGATACGGCTCGGATTTCTTACGAATTTTAGGTTGCATATTAGTCAAGGTCCAGAAGATGGAATTCAAGTGTCTATCGAGGAACGGTGATAGCCGCGTTAAACGCAGCTTCCTGCGTAATCCGTGACACAATTCTTCGTTGGTGAAAATTGGATCTTTACGCCGATCTCCGAAGCAATAGAACACTTCCTCGAGATCTGGGAAGATTAGCAACCGAACATTTATTGCCAAATTCTTGTTTCTTCGAATATTCTTTTGAATAGCACGGTATTGCTAATTGGAGGGACTATAAAACGGAGGCTTCGCGCAGGTTCCAAGCCCCAGAAATTCTATACTTTCAATAATAAAACAGGAAGAAAATGCGTGAAATGTGTTGGAAATCGTGCGTAGATCCTTGCGGAGAAGGATAAAGGAATTTTTACATCGAAGCAATCCTCCGCAGGATTTCGCGGCTGCGAAACGCGTAAACGGAGGCGATTGCGCGGAACGAGTGAAACAAAGTAGACGCGGTTCGTACGGTTAATAAGCGATGCAAATGGCGGCGGGTCATCGGTCCGTTGAACCGGGGAATTAATAACAAGGAATTTCAGAGGGAATTTTAGGTAACCTGGAAACACCGTTTCGCGACATCCCATTTAGACGGACTTATGAATCATGTTAACACGCTTCGGGTCGGGGGTACCGGTGGATGTAGGACAAATCGCGTGTGGGTGAGCACCAGTGACGCAACATTCGTTTTTTCTCCTTCGACGTCGTTACTGCTGCGGCCTGAAACTCTCCTGACAAATATTCGGACATAAGTTCGTTTGTAATTGAGTCCGATCTTGACCCTTGCATCGCAATTGCAGTCCTTTTGTACAATTGGAGTAGAAGAATTACCCGTAACGCCAGGTATTTCGGTATTTTACGGGAGATAAAACTTTTAGCTTAATAAC